CTGATCTTTTCTTTTTCTCCATACTTCTTTACCGTAAATAGTTGATAGTAAAAGATAGTGAACTATCAGTTATATCAGCCCATAAGTAAATTAGTACAAAAATTAATTAATTTTTAAAATATTATTAATATTAGCCAAATGCTATTAATATTAGCTAATTAGCTATTTGTAGCAAAAAAATACTAAAGTTTTTGCTTTCTTTTAAACGGGTGTTATTGGAATAGATTGGATACATCTTAAAAAGTTTGAATCTCAGTTTTGGGATGATTTGATGGAGTTTTGAGGTAGTTTGAATTGAAAATTCAAAGTGGAAGATGAACATGAAAAAACATTATGTGTATCATTTGTGTATCACATATGTATCACATTCATTTCGAATGTGTATCACATGTATATCCATGTATATCGATGTGTGTGATACATACGTGATATATGTTTGATACATGTGTCGTAGAAGAATTTTTTAAACTCGATTTTAACTGCGAATTTTAACACCAAATCACCTCCAATCTTCCTCAAATTTTGTATATTGACTCATCTATATGTTTTCAATGAATTTCAATCATACTCATTCGAAAATGTCCCTTTTTGGTTAGGTTTTTGGAATCTTGTATATATTTTTTCTTTGCGTTTCATCACATTGTTTGTTATCTCATCCATGATATTTTTTTTTCGTCTTGCATCTAATGTTGTTGATCATGCTTAAAAATATGGAAAGAGATCTTTGCGTGTATTCTTGGGGGGAAAAATCCTTATTTATCTGGATTTTTAATTTTTGTATATGTTTGACTAGTTTTGATAAGTATATGATTAATGGCTAGAGGTTGGTATGTTTGAATTTATTTTGGATATTTCCATAAGATTATCTGAAAGATATACAGCAAATGAGTGAAAATCACTTAAACACTTCTGAACATAAGTCAATTTCTGTTACAAATTGTCAAACTCTTACCTTATATCACTTATTTCAACTAATAAAATTTCAGAACATTGTCGATATATTATCAATATTTCACAACCATCGCATAAAACACTATCCATTGTCTAATCTCCATCATCTACTTTTAACACGTTACACGTCTCTTTATCTAATCAAATGTTAGAAATTGAGTAAAAAATTGTTTTTTAAAGTTTTTATGAAAAAGTTGTAGAACCTGATTATCTAGAAAATTTTGCCAGCTGTTTGTTACTAGTACACGTCACTAAATAAATCTTCTTCTGTGTAGTTTTGTTTATTTGGGAGAGTTCCATATTTATCAACCCTATCGCAATCCAATTAAATGATAAGACGTATTGACAATGATGCCTCTTTATGTTACTTGAAATGCTCTTAATTAGAAGTTATAAATATTTAAATCATTGAAATGGAGAAATTTACAATAGGGAGCTGGGTGGGTCTTTCGCAATAAGAAGCTAAATTAGTCGATCACTTCTCTTCTACTCACAAAATTTTAATTTTTTATCAAATACAATACATGTTAAAACACAATTTTAAAAACTCATTTTTTAAAATTTTAACCAAATCTATGTCCAAATGCTAGCTAAATATTTCGAGCCAACAAAATTCACTGTTTGTCCTTAAATAAACGGCAAATGACTAAATATACCCCTCTACTTTCAAAAATGGTCTAAAAATACCCCTCGTTATACTATTGGGTTATCTATACCCCTGTAGTCATACTTTGGGTTCAAATATACCCCTTATTTAAACGGAGGGACACATGTCATCGTCCTGTTGGTCAATTCTAAATATCTCCTAATTAATTAAAAAGACTCATTTCCCATATCCGAAAAATAATTTTTTAATTTTTATAGAAACTGGAAAAAACTAAATTTTTTTTTTACAAAAAACTAAAAAAACGAAAATATTTTTTTTCCCAGTTTTTATAAAAACAAACTGCTTTAAAAAAACTGAAAAATATTTTCTAAATCAATATTTTTGTAAAAACTAGAAAAATATTGAAATGTAATTTTCTAAAGTAATTAAAAATTGGAAAAAACTGAAATATTTTTAACTAAAAACTGAAAAAAAGAATATTAATTTTTTCAATTTTTACAAAAATATTGCTTTAGAAAATTGCCTTTTAGTTTTTTTTCAATTTTTACAAAAATATTGTTTTAAAAAATATTTTTCAGCTTTTTTTAAAGCAATTTTTTTTTGTAAAAACTGAAAAATAAATATTTTCGTTTTTTCAGTTTTTAATAAAAAAATAATCAGTTTCTTCTAGTTTTTAAAAATAAAATTGCTTTAAAAAATTGATTTTCAGTTTTGTTTTTCTAGTTTTTACAAAAACATTATTTTAGAAAATAATTTTCAGTTTTTTCTAAAGCAGATTTTTTGTAAAAACTGAAAAGAAAATATTTTCATTTTTTCAGTTTTTAGTAAAAATAATTTCAGTTTTTTCCAGTTTTTACAAAAAAAAATAATTAATTTTCGGGTATGGGTAATGAGTCTTTTTAATTAATTAGGAGATATTTAGAATTGACCAACAGGACTATGACATGTGTCCTTCCGTTTAAATGAGGGGTATATTTGAACCTAAAGTAAGACTGCAGGGGTATAGATAACCCAATAGTATAACGAGGGGTATTCTTAGACCATTTTCGAAAGTAGAGAGATATATTTGCCATTTGCCATTAAATAAATTAATATCCCTCGTAGTATCTAAGGTGTTAGATTATTATCTTACCAGATAGAATGTAATTCACTTATTGGAATAGCGATACTCCAAATTCCAGCAAACATTGGACTCCCAACAATTGAACAAATCACACACTGACACCCTATTTTGTTTGAGAAAAAATGCAGAAGAGTTTGAAATTTAGATATGAAATATGAGACCAGACCTCTGTGTTTATAATCATGTGCCTTTTTGGGGAAAAATCAGGTGACTTTTATAGGCAAAATTATAAAATAAGACAAATATAAAAAGAATATGTTGGTCTGAAAAATTAGTCAATTAATCATTATCATTTGGTTGAATCCGAATCCGAGTGACAACCCAAAGGCTTGCCTTTCTTCTCGATCTTTTAAGTTAGTTTAGAAATATTTTTTAATACAAGGCGAATAACCATCTTCTTTTTATTTCATAAAGGACCTTCATTTCTTATTCACACTACCCAACAAAATGATCATTCTCGTCACTATTATACTTCTTATTTTAGTAACTTAACATATGCAAGACAATTCGCAGAATGAATGCAGGGCGGCTCTAAGAATGTGGGCAGTGAGGCCACTAAATTTGAAGGCCCAAATTTATTTTAGTTTCTTATTATTATTTTTACCATATATATAATTTATATAAATAATTAGTATAAAAAAAAGTGTTACAATATATTTTTTTGTTATTCGATTGAGGTTATTTTATACCAATAAATTTATAAATTATAATAATTTTCTCCCCTCATTAATCGACAACATAATGAATTTATGTTACAATGTTCTCTGAAACTGCGTGAATACAAAAGCATTCATGCACCGGTTTTCTTTTAGTGTAATTTGACATATTATATTAGGTTATTTACAATTTATTTTAGATATTCACCAATAAGTGCTACTTAATAGAATGAACTACAATTATCGTTTATATTAATCAGAAGGAGTAAATATTTTTGATACCATCAATACTCAAAACTTAAACTATTACGTTATATACGTTTGTTTCTTTTTCTTGTTTGTGATAATAGCCAAATCAAATTTTTCACTTTTAGTTTTGGACCTCAAAACTTTATTTTTTGTGATCTTCTTCCTTCTTCTTTTTTTTTTTTTTTTGAAATTCACTTTTTTTGTCTTAAATGATTAATTTATTATTTAAAAAGTAAATTTTGTTGTTAGTGTAAATATTTTATGAAATAAATTTAAGGGTTTTTCAATATGGTTTCACCTTAGGCCACGAGATTCATTGAGCCGCCCCCGAATGAATGTTGGCTTTACTCGAACAGTTTAAAAAGTTACTCCCTTCTTTCACTATTAGTTGTCATTTATTCTCAAAAAAATATTTTCATTTTTACTTGTCACTTTTCGCATATCAAGAGAAAAATAATTTTTTTTCCTGTTTTACTCTTATCATTAATTACTCATTCCAAATAATTTTCCAAATTCATTAAGACTATACACCAATTAATATGGGTATTATGGTAAATTATACTATACTTTATTTAATTTTCTTAAGAGCGTAAAAAATCCAAAGTGGACAACTAAAAATGAACGGGAAGTAATTGATATTCTCGAAAAGAAAAAACGAAAACACAAAGACTATAATAATGTTTTAGAGCTTTCAGTAAGATGTGTCTATCTATATCCCAAAAACAATTCCAGCATTTCACCTACCATTTTTTAAATTAATTATATCATGCCAAACTTTTGGTAGGTCACCACTCCTTTGAGCATCACCATCAATATTTCAACACTTGCAAGATAAAGTTATCAAAAAGCTGAACACTTAATTGCTTTTCTTTAAATAAATGGCGATTTTTAGTTAATTTTACCCACATATTCGAGAATGATAAAAAGAACTTTTTGCTTAGAGAATTAAATGAATAAGTGGTTTATTTTTATTTTTTTTTTTAAGAAATTCACCTTTTAACATTATTTGACAATAAAATTGATCATATTAACCTTTATTATCTCTTCACATAAATACCCTTAACATATACTCCAACATTATTTAATCCAAGGGCAATGTAGTAAAAAAATAATTAATTCATTCTTGAAATCTGAAAAAATTATTTATTTTGGATCACAAAAAAAAGCTAAAATATCACTTATTGTGGACCGGAGAGAGTAACAAATACTACGGTAAACAATGACACTCGAATTTCATTCAAAAAATTTAGAAAGTGTTTATAACTTTGATATACTAGATACTTAAAATTGGTAAATTCAGATTGTAAAACTAATATTTTTTCGACATTATCCAGCATATTGATGCAATTACTAGAATTAACGAATTCTTTTCTTCTTCCTCCCATCCCCCCACAAAAAAAAACAAAAAGAGAGATAAATAATGCCCTCTGAGATTTCCAACTATATGAACCAAATCACTTCTAGTCAATTATACTAATTTTTTGCTCTCTATATTTTATTCTCAGGTTAATTTTTATATTTCTACATTTTTATGTACAAAAATTACAAAAAAAGATAAACTAATTTCATGATTTACAAAAATCTACGTAGATAATTACCATGTAATGCGGATAACAAGAAAATCAGCTCCTCGTCACTTCCTTCATACTCCGACTGCTGATTCCGGTGCTGCCGGAACTTTACCACGATTTCCTCCGGCAAGACCTTGTTCCGGCAGAGTGGACACGTGGCAGAATCTTGCTGGAGCCACGTGTCTAAACAATCCTTGTGGAATATGTGCTTGCATTTTAGCTTCCTTACTTCTTCGCCCTCCTCAAATGCGGATAAACAAACCGCACAGGACTCTGAAAAACCGGCCGGCTTAATTGCCGTAGTCTTGAACCGGATAACCGGGTTTTTTTCTTCGATGAACTTGAGGTATTGCTTGGTGGTGATCGGCCGGTCGCCGGAGTCGTAGATTGTGTCGGTAATGGAACGTACGCAGATGACTAGCTCGAGAATTAGAATGGTGAAGAAGACTAAGGTCATAGTGTAGAGATGAGCTAAAAGTTGAGAAACAGCAGCCATCTTTTGTGTGTGTGTGTGTGTGTGTTTTTTGGTTAAAGAAGTAAAAAGAAGGGACTTTTGAGTGTAGTTAGGTTGCCCCGAGTTGCATCCTTCGATCTATTTATAATAACGACTTTTCAAGGGTCGATAAAAGTAGAAGGTCTTGGAAACAAATGCNAATGATAACTTTAAATTTGTCACTAATATTACTCAATAAATGGCGCCAACTCATTTTTTGGTGGGAAACTTTAGTGGACGAAACTTAGCTACTAAAAGTATGTAGTTCATGTATTTAAAGACGAATTATATTTTTTGTCATAAAAAATGAATAATTAATGACGAATTTTGTGTTGTAGCTAATAATTTCGTAGCTAAATATCACATTTGTTGTAGTGAGAAGCTAATAAATCCTCTCTTTTCTTCTTCTTATTATTTTTTAAAAATATTTGAGAGCCATTTTATACATTGAAGCCAAATAGTTATGTGAGCCTTGATATATGGATATTGGGGTCCCATTTATTTAGAGAAACCAAACAAACAAAAAGTCAATAAGTAACAAAATAAATACGGACGAAAGCTAGCGAATAAAGATGTGACAACACTTTTGGGAAAAACATCTCACTAACAGATGTCTGACTAAAAAATGGGAAGAGTAAAAGGCAAAAATATCCATATTTTTTAATGTGCTAACACGATTATACTTATTTGTTGGAACTAAAAATGAAATATAAGTACCTATTTGATCAATTATCAAAAATTAAATGGTTCATTTTGATGTCCTTTTGATATACGGGGGAGTTTAGCAATAAATAATCGGTATTTATGGAATAAGGTTCTCAACATGCACCACTTACATATCAAAGTTAGGTTAAGGAAGATCTTGAAGAGACGTGAGAAGTTTTTAAACAAAGAAAAGGTCAATTAGTTACAAAAGTGAAGTTTAACTTTAAAAAAAGGGGAACAGCGAAAGGCAAAAGTGTACATATTTTTAATGTGCTAGCGCAATTATATTCTAGAACTAACTATGAAGATAATACTAATTTATTATGTATATTAGCAAACGAGTATATAAAACAAAACTAAATTACTAAATCTGTTCTTATTGTTATTAAGATATAGTGAGACAATTGAATGTCACATTTCTGATTTAAACTTTGGGATCAGCTATTTTTCATTTTTGTCACGTTATCTTCGTTAATAGGAAGGGAACCTGTAGTAACGATAAAGTTGTCTTTGTGTGATCTATAGGTTACGAGTTCGAACCGTGAAAATAGCTACTTATGCTTACATTAAGATAGATTGTCTATATCACACCCCTTGAGATGCGGTTCTTTCTCCAACCTTGCGTGAACACATAATACCTCGTGCACCGAGGTGTCCTATATTTGTTTTACAGTTGGAGGAGAAGCAAAATAAGAGAGTAGGTGCCGGAGGGCTTACAGTAGAAGATTTATATGAGTTGACTAGATAAAATGCCATGTAGTGGTGATAAGAGTCAAGAGGAATAGGATATTTCTTTAGAAGTTTTATTATATGTGTAATGTGATGATAGTAGTATTTTATTATTTCTAGATAAATACACATCACATCATATTAATTGATAGGACCTGTTCGATCAATTATCAATAATAAAACTGAAAATGGTCGTTTTTAGTCTCCTACTTTCAAAAATAATTCATATATATCCTCATTTGGATATTTTGATGTACTAATCTATTATCACGGGCTAGCCTATACTATAAGGGTAATTTGGTAGCATATATTCTTGGGCGTATCTAGGATAGTTTTATGGGACACGTGAACTCATGCTCCCCTCCTTAGATCATGTATATTAATATTATATTTTTTTAGAAATACTTAAACAAGCTCAAAGTATCATATGGTGTGATGATTATTGGATGCACTTGTTTAAGTAAGATTATGAGTTCAAATCTTATGTCAATCTTATTTTTTTTTTTCTTTTCTAGAGCTAGGTACCCACCTGAGATGTGCATGTCTGGTATCACTTTTTGCATATTAATTAAGTACTTTTTCTTTTTCTTTTTTCCTTTCTTTCTTTGGTTTATTCTTTCAAAATTTTCACATATTGAAATTCCTATTCTTCTTTTATCACGGTAAAATCTTATATGCTTAAATGAAGTCGTGTATTAAAGCAAGTAGCCGTGGATGATGTAGCATATAGTCACCGAGTTCAACTGATCCTAACATTTTCGACACGGAATATAAATATAGTTGCAAGAAAATTACTATTTTACAATAAGTTAATGTTAAACTTATAATTCCAAAAGTGTAATAAGTGCAATAGTAAGAACTAAAGGATGAAACCCGTAAAATTTATATCTTGGATCTACATTTTCATAACTATGCACCCATCTTTTCAAAATCCTGAATCCGTCTCTCATGTGTTAGAAAAAATAATATATGTATTAGCTTGTATTAGTTATACACTCTATTCGATACTATTATTATACAAAGAAAACTATGGCATAGCAAAATCATAATTTTTAATACATGAATAAGCATATATAAAGGCAGAACTGCCTTTTGAAAACGTTTAGTACATCAAACCAAACAGTCGATAAGAAATAATCACAGCATAACTAATGTTAGCATTATTAATCCATACATTACTAAATACTTTATTTAGTAATATTCTTATACACCTTACAAAACTACCCTAACGACAATAAAACGTCTAAGTCTCAAACCAGTGGGGTTGACGAGTGAGGGAGTAGGACTGGGGTGCGGGAGGGTGCAAGAAAGAAGTAAAGGCAGTATGAGTTGACTAATTGACTAAATAAAATGCCATGTTGTTAGTGACGAGTGGAATAGTAGATTTGTCAACAGTCTATTTATGATAAGAACATGTTTGATCAATTGTTGATTTGGATATACGTTCGATATACATGGAATTTTAGGAAAACAAATCCATCATTTATAGAATAAAGATTTCTTAGACGCACCACCAACATATCAAAAGTAAATAGAATCTCTATCACGATATGTATAATATTCTTTTCTGAACTCCTAATTTAATGGATTTTTTAAAGGAAACACGAAAAGTATGTTTAAGGAAGATAAGATACCTATCGTGCAGGGAGGAACGTTTTATTTTATTAATAGAATTTTGGGATCTTGAACAAAAACTTTTCTTGAGAAGTAGAATAATATTAATAATTGTCATAGAGGAATAGAAATTCAACAATTAAAATAGTTAGTTTAATAGGTAATACATAATTTATTTTTTAGGTTACAAATTAATTAACATTATATCTTTTGGTGTATATACACCAAGTGTAAGTAATTTTATTTTGAAAATAATATTTGTATTCGTTATTGTGTCTTGTGATTAAATAGTTTCAATGTGTGTATGTGTTTTCTTTCCTATAAGAAAGATGAGATAATTTTTTAGAAAGCCTTTTTTTAGTTTTATATTCCATTGGATTGTGAGGAAATGTACATGTTCATACCATGTACATTAGCAAACTTCTCTTCAATTAATATCACGGGGGACCTTTTCATTCAGTAGTTTTGTCGATCGATAGGCAAGTGTTTATTTGTGGAGGCCCAGCCAAAAGTTCGCCCAAGTATTTTTTTTTCTTAATTTTGCTGTCAAATATCTATTATTATTATTGTTATTATTATATTATTATTTATAGGTGTTTGAATATCNTTAATAACAAAGAAACAAATGCGGAAATAAAGTCTGAAATAAAGTGAATAATCCATAATAATAGTGATATCTAAATACCATCCTAGAACTGGTGTCACAAGTGCACGAGCTACTAGAATATTACAAATAAAGGTCTGAATGAAAATGAAGCTGTCTGAAAGAAATACTCAGCTACGATAAAGTGAAAGGGGACTTCAGAACTGCGAACGCTATGCAGTTATACCTCAAGTCTCCTGTGACTAGCTGAATCCGAGCAAATCTATTGTACACCGCTGGGACCAACACCGATATCTGCACAAGAAGTGCAGAGTGTAGTATGAGTACAACCGACCCCATGTACCCAGTAAGTGCCGAGCCTAACCTCGACGAAGTAGTGACAAGGCTAAGGCAGGTCGCTTACAGTAACCTGTACGCAATAATAATAATAATAATAATAATAATAATAATAATAATAATAATAACAGGAGTAGAAGTAAGACCGGTAAATCATATCAATAATTGAAGTTAATTCAGCAGTCATAATCCCTCAATTTATTTTCGTTGCGACGTGCAACCCGCTCCAACAATATTAACTTAAAATAAAATCAGTTGCGGCATGCAACCCGATCCAACAATATAATCTTTCAATTAAATTCCGTTGCGGCGTGCAACCTGCTCCAACAATATAAACTTTCAATGATTTCGTTGCGGCGTGCAACCCGCTCCAACAATATAATTTAACAACTCTTAAATATAAAAATACTCCGATAAATACCACATTAATAAGAAATTATTAGGCAACAAGGCATACAATAATTATGATTTATTTAGGAAAATAAGTAATGACAAGTAGCAATTAATTGTGAAAATCATAGAGAAAATAGGCAATTTAATATTTAATATGTTAAATGTCAAGTAGCAATTAAGACACATAAGTCAAATAAACATATAGCAATTATAGCATGAATTCAAGACATAATATTGGATAAGGAATATGAGAGAAATAATTAATATAATAATTAATTCATGATTTAAAATAATTTATGATTTTCAGATAAATATGCAAACATTCACTTTGACGACGTATAGGCACTCGTCACCTCGCCTATACGCCATTACACATGAAATTCACTTAACAAATAATTCAAGGGTTCTATTCCCCCAAGTTAAGGTTAACCACGACACTTACCTCGCTTTGCAATCAAATTTCAAGATTTCAATAAACCTTTGCCTCGCGAATTCATGTCCGAAAAGCTTTAAATCTAGTCACAAACAATTCAATATACTCAACACGAATCGTAGAAATTAATTCCATATGAAATTACTAATTTTTCGGATTAAAATCCGAAATTTATTTTAAAAATTGACATTGGGGATCACGTCTCGAATCCCGAAAAAAACTCACGAATTCCGAACACCCGTTCCGATACGAGTTCAACCATACAAAAATTACCGAATTCC